AAAATATAATTGTTTTTTTTTAATCTGTTAAATCGGTAGTTGGGTAAGGAGCAGGTCTAACTGTTACCACATATAGAAACCATCATAAGCATCGTATGGGCATGCTATTTTATTATCACATGTATTGACTTATAATGTAACATAATCCATAAAAGTAATCTACATAAATCTAGTCAGATGTATGTTTGTAGTGTGAAATGCACTTTGAGGTTAGTGGAAGTAGGCCTACATATCAATGGAATAAAAACAAGTGTTATTAGTGGTCATTGCACTTTATTTCGGCACCGCATTAACATAAAAATGGTATACTAGTAAAACAAACACTTAATAACTGCTCAAAAGGTGTAATTTAAACATAAAATGTATTTGAGGTTAGGAAGTTTTGACATGTGACACATGTGTTTGAGGTTAGAAAGTTTTGATACATGCATTTGAGGTTAGGAAGTTTTGATGCCACGGCCTTCTTGATCTACTGATCTGACGTGACGTCATAGCTTAATGTTGGTTTATTGGCAGTTTCACAGACATCAAAGTCAAAGTGTTTGTAGACCTACCTGCTACAAACCTCAAACCTGATGTATGCTAGACCTAGGCCTAAAAAGTTGTAAGTTGATTTTAATATATGGGCTATTGGATCTCTATACAATTATTTTTCAACCAACTATGTTATATTAATAATTTAGGCCTACTCTTCAAACAATTTAAGATTTTAATATCAAGTGCAATGCTTGAACATTCTACTAACTGACCAACTTAATCTTAAGTTATCTCTTTTCCATTGCCCTTTGAGCCTCAGAAATTATTCTCCGGTTTGATTATGCATAGGGCTATTAATTTTTATCTTGTAGTTTTCTCAGCGTTTGACGTGAATCCCATCTTTAACAAGCAAGTCTTTGGTAGGCAAACACACAATTAGGATTTTTAAAAGTAAATTTAGCATAAAAATGCTAAATCCATTCATCCTATTACTAACCTGAGCTGCCACTGTTAATTTTAAATGGGCTTCAATCCACGATACGATAAATTAAGTAATTGTCTCCTGTTTGTAAAAACAACACATCTGAGCAAGCTATTAAGTTACCCGTACGGAATTTAAAAATATAAATTTGCAGAGGCCCAGGGATTGGTGTGAACCTGGCAATAACTCAGCAATAAGTAGTGTGCGCGCCTGATAAAATCTCTTCCCCAACCCGACATAAACTCACAAATCCAAAGATAACAAAAGATTGCAATCAAAAGGCGAATGCCGTTGGTTATATGAGCTTTCACTCCTACCTTTCATTTGTTATTGTTTATTCATTACACTTCTTTTTAACGCTTTTAGAATAAGTTTAGCTGCCAAAACACTCTTGCTATTAATAAGTGCCTGCCACAAACCGCCTTAGAACTAGTTTTCATAATTCTATTTACTTAGAAAACAAAACTAAAGAATAAAGAGAAAAATCTGTAAACTTAGTCATTTTTTCAATCTATTGGTTCTCGCCGACAAGTTTTGTAAACTTGGCGAGGCCATGCTTGTAATAACCTAAATAAATATGAAAAAAAAAGAAATAATTTAGTATTAGCATTGTTGTAGGCTATGCGTAATGGTTACCGTACAGAGAAAATCCTAAAAAGTGTACATTTAAAATTCCCATGTTATTCTTATGGAGAAAATGAAAACTGTTGTAGTTTACTTGTTTATGGATAACTTAGCCTATGTTGATAAAATTTGGCAAATTTATTTATTTCATACTATACTAAGTATTAATGTTCTTGGTCAAAAAACACTTTATAGCCAAACACTTTTATTTGAATTTGAATTTTGAAATATATTTTTGAAAACAAATATGAATAAATATAAGTCTTATAAGTGTGTATAAGTGTTATAGTGTGTGTTTTCAAAATATGTCTGAATATATTTTAGTAAAAATATAATCAAACATGTGGAAATTTGCTTAGTCTGCAGGTTTGCTACGGCGGAGGTATTTTAGTTTAGTACTTTACCAGTGACACTGTCTGCTGACCATGCACAGTTAAACACTTTTGTTCAAGAATCTGCACTGTAGCCTAGCGATACCATACTGACTTTGAAAAAGTTATGTAAATCACCGACACATCATTGCATAGGCTTAACAACTTAAATAACATTAACATATTTCAGCATTGACTATTATGTATGGAAGTAGGCCTTGATAACTTATCCCATGATCAATATTAAATGATGTACCAGCTGTCTAACATAAACTCGGGGCTGTATTTCCCTAACGGCGGTTGCTAAGGGCCTCACTTGGAGCCTAAATATCTTTTTCTTGATAAATTGATTTGTCGATAATCTGTTTCACCGCAATTGCGGGAGAAGTTGATGAAATCTGCGTGACTGCAAGAGATCTTTACGATTTCTCCACTAACGTAAGAGTCTTTCTCAATCGCAGAAGATGTCCAGTATTTTATCGCGTCCGCGGGAGTCGAAGATCATGTCCCTGCAAACACGAAAGATCTTAACGATTTCGTCATGAACGAAGGGGACGAAGTTCAAGTCTCTGCGCTCTCGCAAGATTTTACCTCAACAATTGTTTAGCCTACTATGCATTTGTTCAATCAATACTTCAATATGGAATGTTAGTATGCGGAGGAGCTAGTAGTTATAATTTAAAGCCATTGTTTGTTATTCAAAAACTAATTATTAAAATAGCTTTTCAATTCAACAGCTGCGTTTCCACAAACTTATTAGGCTATTCAAAAACACTGAAATTACTTTCGGTGTGTCAAGTTTATAAACATATTTATAAACACTTTACTTAGACTATATATACTTAGGCTACTCCAATCGAGATCTAATAGTGACGCCAATCACTCATAACTATCCTACCAGAGAAGCTATAAATGTAGGTATGCAGGTAGGCCTACCCAGAGTTTTCAAATCTGCAAATCTTACAAATTATTTTTATGTTGCGAATTTTCTGTATAGGAATATACCATCAGAGATTAGAGATCTACTACAGGTATCTCTTCCAGTTTACAAACGAGCGGTAAGCAGTTGGCTGTCGGAGATTGGGCTTCAGTCTGAGACACTTATCAGTTCAGTATACAATACCTAATGAGACCAATACACAATTAAACCAAACAATATTTAGCGCACAGACATTACTATCTGCAACTCCATTCACTCGACCCAGCTGATGCTGTCTTAGCAACCATTATGCTTATTGTTGTTATTAGTTTTTTAGAGGATTATACACACATTTAACTCTTCTATTAAAAAAACTGTTCTCTTACTTATTTGGTCGTAAGTTTATTTGAACTACACAAACAACCACGACAAAATTACTTAGCATTTAACTGTTCCTGTAGTTTTGTTGTAAATAATATCTTGATTAATTTAGTTTTATTTTTATATTAATTTCAACATATGTAATAGAACTCGTCACGCGCACAGGTCTTGCACGGCATATGCGGGACTATTTTTTTTCTTCATATTCCAAATGTATATATATTGCAAACAATAAAACAGATTTTGATTAGATATGATCTCTTTCTCCGCGCCTACATAATTCCATCATGATCCGCTGCGATCGTAGAAGATGGAGATGATCTCTCCGCGCTCACGCAAGATGTTAACTCTTCAGGCCACAGGAGACATTCATGATTTCCTTGAAAAATAATTCATTTCCTGACCTTAAAATATGATATGTTTCTGTAACCCACTAGGCTAAATATGACGCTGTACTATTTTCAACGTGTATGTTAACTCTTCCAGGACTATAGGCAAATATCTGCTAGCACTTTGGGCATAGGGGACGGTATCTTTTTTGGCTCCGCGGACAATAAGTGGATATATCCGCCGATTATTACGACATTTATTGTTACAGTTTATTGTCTATAACATCATTAATCTTCGGCCTTTTACTCAATTATATCTTTAACCGTTGTTTATAAAGGTTTTTCTAGAAGAATAAGAAACTGAATTCAAAAATAGTTTTAAATAATTTTGTACTATGAAAAATACGTAAGAAAAAAATATAAAGAAAGTAAAAAATTATTTTAGACAAAAGTGCTGCATGGGTCAACTATTTTTCAACATTGTATAAATTATAGATACAAAAAAATATTTTGTAGTTTTTATTAAAATAAAATAATTTTGCTGACTACATACGATAGGCCATCTGGGAAGGGTTAATAAACAATATTGTCTATTGTCTAATCATTTTAGCGAATTTCCCATATAGAGAATAAGCTATTACCTTAAGTCTCACGATTAGACCTAGACCTGGGACTGTTCACTTTTTCATTTTGATGTCCCCTGAGGGCAAAAACACCATTTGTTCATATAATATGTAAGTTGTGTGTGTTGGTTAGCACGATAACTCGAGCAAAAATCATCCCGTGTTGACCAAATTTGGAACAAACGTGTAAACCTATAATTATTCAAATGAATACACGAACAAGCATGATCGGAACATGGGAATGTGGTTTTACGGGGAAGGGGGGTTATGAGGGGGAAAAGAGGTTTTTCTCATTTTTGACCCTCAAAACATAGGATTTCCCAATTTCTTCTTAGCCATTTTGTAGAGCTTGAAAATCAAATAATTAAGTAAGTTATCTAAAGTGTTTTTGTACGGTTATTGGCTAGGGAGAAAGTAAAAAAAAATTGTAAATTTCAAATCGCAAGAACAACCCATGTCATTCTAATGGGGAATAAGTAAATTATTGCAATTTACTTGTTTATGGATATATTTTGACCAAACCTGGCAAATATACTTATTTTATACTAAGCTATTTATATTTCACTAGGTAACACACTTTATTACTCAACAAACCCAGGTACTTCTTTAAATCAAAAATATGTTATTTAAATTATATTTATAAAGATTAAATCAGACAAATGGAAATTCGGTTAGTTTGCTGTGGCTGGGGTATTTGTTTTTGTGTTAATAAACTTACTTGGATTGATTGTTTATTCAGGAAAACTAACACAAGCTGTTTTGTTATTTTGCAGATAACAAAACATGATGGAAAAAGTGACAGAATTATAGACAGAAAGATGCAAGACAATGATTTCCGAAGTAGATTTGGATCACCCTTACCCAGATTCGAAGATATCAGCTTTCAAGGAAGTTTTCATTAAATATATGTTTGATGAATCAAAGCAACATATCTTTATGTGTGATAAGTGTGAAAATCTTGTTTCCGGAAGGATAATTTTAATAGAAATACGTTGATTCACAATTTAGAACAACCTAGCCAGTGTACATTCTTCATGGAATCTTACAGAGAAAAGTCAAGAAATTCACTTTCAAACTCATAGGGAATAACTGTTTCAGTCAACTAAATGTCCAAGAAGATTTAAGTTATGGATGAATGTAGCATAGAAGAAAAACCTTATCTTTGTGAAGTATGTCCAAGCTCTTTTAAAACTGAGAAATGCTTCGAAGCACATGCACTTACTCACTGTGAATATTCCCCAGATATAACACCAGAGAAGTCTTTGGAAAATTTTTCTGAGACAGCCCACTTAGAGAAAAATTTTCATTGTACGATTTGCTCTGAAAGCTTCCATTCCCTGAGATCGTTAAGGATACACATTACTCGCATACACTCGAAAAGTCAACCCCACCAATGTTTTACTTGCAAGGAGGTTTTTTTGTCCAGATTTGAATTAAAAACGCACGCTTGTGCTCATACAGATGACCTTTTCCTTTGTCATAAATGCCCTAAAACATTCACAGTGCTTTCATACTTAAAGTTACACCTGTTAAAACATACTGAAGAAAGACCTTATCAATGCTCAATCTGTCATAAGAGCTTTACCCAGAAAAGTGGTTTAAAGGCACACATGCTGAAGCATAATGGTAAACTTGACCATCAGTGTGACATTTGCCTGAAGAAGTTTGCTTTGAAGGGGACATTATCGACTCATATGCTTTGTCATTACACAAGAGATAAACCCTATGAGTGTCCATCGTGTCAGAAAGCTTATACGAGCCAGTCAGGGTTGAAGAGACACATGTTGACTCACTCCGGGCTGAGAGTTTACAAGTGCGGTCTGTGTCCAAAATCCTTCGCAACCCCAGATGTGTTGAAGCAACACTTAAAGACCCATTCAAATGAGCGTCCTTTCATGTGCGAGTACTGTGGAAAGTCATTTTCAAGATCAAACTTTTTGAAACAACACATGATGATTCACACCGGCGAACGGCCTTTTCAATGTGATAGGTGTGAAAAATCTTTTGCTAGATTAGAAGTTCTTCAAAAACACATTTTGAGCCATACGGGTGAAAGACCCCACCAATGTACATTATGTGAAAAGTCATTTAAGCAAAAGGGTCATTTAGAAACACACATGTCGTTCCACTCAGGAAAAAGACGGTATAAATGTCCAATTTGCCAAAAAAGCTTCATAATGAATAGTAATTTGCAGGCACACAAGGCAATCCACTTAAAGGCAAGATATCAATGTAAGGAGTGTGATCAGGTGTTTAAAAGACAAATAGAATTAAAGAGACATGCGCTCATTGCTCACACAAGCAAATCATTAATTTCGATACAATCTTGTGAAGTGATTCGTGATATCATACCGATTTCAGGTGAAGTTTTAACGTTGTCTGATGAAGTCATACAAGTCACGAATGACAAACTTATAGCTTGTTTTAGGAAAGGGCAATTTGGTGGAAGGTAAGATGGTGTGTATGTCGGAAAAATCAAACACTGAAGATCTGTAACTTGTTTTTGCTTTCTTTATATATATTAGTGGCCTCTTTTAACTTTGCAGTTGCCCATCCACATAGGCTTGGTTGGGCCTGTGCCTGGAACTGTGTTGATAAAATTTAGTGTTGAGCACCAAGACGCAAACTTACAACATTGCTATCATGGTTTTGTAGTCCATCGATGAGCCACTGACTCACCGGAATTTCTAGAATTTCAGAACGGCCTTTTATCCATCTACAGTTTCTGACAGTTTCTACAGTTTCTGCATAGTCTTTTATTTTAAGATAAACATTGTGAATTGTTTTATTGGTTTACAACAATGCTGTTGTTATTATACAGGGTGTCCCGGAACTCTCAACCAAAATTTTAGAGCATTGTTTCTGAGTTAGAAACGTATGTAAATACCATATTTAAATTGGCCGCAAGTGCTTATTTACTTACACAGCCGCCATTTTGTTTTTTTCACTTATTATTTTTTTTCTAAAGAACGGTTCGACATACGAAATTTAAACTTTGCACAAACATTTATGACAACTAAGCAAAGCTAGAAAAAAATTATGAAAATTTTCCAAATTCATCAAACTAAATGGCAGCCATTTAAAATGTTGTTTCTTAAATAACTCAAAACCCGTTGATTTTAAAAAAATGTTAAATGACCGCAATTTTGTTTGATGAATTTGGAAAATGTTCATAATTTTTTTCTAGCTTTTCTTAGTTGTCATAAATGTTTGTGCAAAAGTTTCAATGTCGTATGTTTACCCGTTCTTTAGAAAAAAGTTAATAAGTGGAATAAACAAAACGGCGGCTGTGTAAGTAAATAAGGAGTTCCGGGCAATTTAAATATGGTATTTACATATGTCTCTAACTTAGGAACAATGCTCTAAAATTTTGGTAGAGAGTTCGGGGACACCCTGTAGAATAGGTACTGTATATGCAGTATATAATAGTTTTTTTTTTATTTGATAGTATTTTAAAGTTTGTAGCTTGTTAAGCAAAATCTTGATGTTTTTATGGGTAACTATACCATTAATTGTTAAAAAATCCCGAACATCCAAAATTAAGTAGGTATCGTATTTCAGGTTCCTTTACATTTCAGTTCACATCTTAAGCTTTCTTTGATACTGGTTTTACTTGTCACATTCCAGCTACATGTAATAGAACGAGAAACATTTGTAAAAACATGTGCATGCAACATTGCTGAAGGAACTCTTGTATACAAAATTGTAATGTTATAATTTTATCTTTGATTAAGATGTAAAAAACAAATGTTTTGGCTCATGAGCCATTAACTACTAATTTTAATTGAATGAATACTGTTATACATATTTAAAATAAAATTTATATTCACCAAATCTACTCAATACATTTAATGTATAGTTTGTTTTGTACATGTGTATATAAATAATAATTTGATTGCCTATTCCTCTTATTAATAACCGTTACCTCATGTTGACACATACCTTAAGAACTCATAATGCTATAACAAGTTACAATCAAGTAATCTATATACTAAAAATTATATAAATATAATATATAAAAATGAGATGGTGTGTGTCTGTATGTCTGCTACTCAATAACACAAGAACCACTGAACCAATTGAAATAAAATTTTTTATGAAGGTAGCTTTTATACCCGGTTAACATGTAGGCCTATTTCTGTTAGGTATATTTCCCTTGGGCTGGCTACGCCCCATGGACTTCCAAAGTTTCAATGTTAACATTTTGTAAGTAGTCAAAAATATTAATTGAAGTCAGCTTGCTGTAAATACAGTTCAAGCAGCAGAGGTTAAGAGGTACAGTTTCTGCTCCCAAGATTCTAAAGTTTTATGATTATGAGAGAAGTTTGGTTAAAATATTTATGAAAATATACTTATTTTCATGGAAACAGAAGTATCATTACAATGTATAAATTTTTTTGAATAATTTTGATATGGTAGCTTTTTGTTTACAAATTTTAACTGATAAACAAATGTTTGGATTAGGATTTTAATAGGTTTTAAAAACTAAGATATATGTACTGGTACAGTTTTAAAAACTTAACTGACTCAAGGTTTACACTTTTATTTGTGTTTTAATTTAATTTACAAACTAAATTTAATAATACCTCATTTTATTCTGTCCAGAGGTAGCTACTACTTATATTTTCCTCTATCTTCTACTTCACATTCGTTTTTTACATTTACAGAAACCTGCTTAAGTAGTTGTGTTTTTTACAACACTGCTTTAATTTGACTATGGAGAATATCACAAAACTAAGCTGTGCCCAATTCACTTTTGTTTCTAAAATCGATTCTGTAACGTAACTGTGTTTCTTTACTCAATGTTTTAATGATGATGTAAATAAATGCATATACATACACGTTTTGAACTTGATATTATTGTGATATATACACACTGATCTGCAGGTAAAGATTGAAATTTAAAAAAAGCTCAGTAGTTATGGTAAAACAATGTGAAATCAATATAAACTGTTTTTATATTTACTTTATATGTACGTTTATACAAAAAAATCTTTATGTAAGCTTATCATTTGAAAATGTAATCCTATGCGTAGCTGTACATTATTTTCATAGATGCATCAGCGCCTCATATCATTCGTACTAGGTAGCCTTATAAGTTTATATTTTTTAAACTAAGAGTTACAATTAATTGAGTTATGGTCCTGAAACCAAAGGGGAATGTGTTACTATTCTATATAACAGATTTAGAGATCAAATTTGTCGCTTCAGTTTCCTCTCCGTTGCGAAGCACGGGTACAGCAGCAGAGCAGCTTGTTTTAATATATTCGGTGTTGCTAGCTTATAGTGGGTAACTTCTCTGACTAGTGCCTCATCAGGGACAGGTTCAATTCCTGGCACAGACCAATTTGGCTTAAAGTGTTTATTTAAATTCTTTCTACTGCTACTCTTAAAGCAAAAATGTTGCTGGCACAATATAGAAATCAATACGCCAACCGCAGCAAACCTGCAGGTGAGGGAATGTCCATTTGCCTGATATTATTTTCAATTAAATCCATTTGTATAACATTACGTTTGTCAAATACCTAGGTTTGCTGCTACAGGAAGGGTATAATAAAGTATGATTTTTGTAAAATATTAATAGCTTAGTATGAAATAAACAAATTTTCCAAGTTTGATAAAAGTATATCCATAAACAAGCAAACTATAACAGTTTACCTACTTATTCTCCTTAAGATTATTGTGGGAATTTAAAATTTTTGGAATTTTCTCTGTTTTTCTGTTTAACCGTAGAAAAACACGTTGATGTATTAAATTATTTGTTTATTAAGCTCTTTGAAATGGGCTACTAGAGATAAATCGGGTAATTTTGTGTTTTTTTGGAAGTCAAAAATTAGTAAAACTAATTTTTTACCCCCTCCCCGTAAAACCCTGTCTGTTGAAATTTTTAAAGCGATCCGTTTGAAATTTAGTACATTCATGGTAAGTTAACCAACTATGGAAAGGTCCGAAATGGTACAAATTTGACCACAGAGATAGCGTCTCAGACTTGGGTGCGGTAGGGGGCGACGGGTTCCATTTGAGGCACACCAAGGCAACACTAACTTGGGCACATCCAAGCACATAATATGGGCTAGCACTGCATTCTCTCTTCTTCATCTAATTCCTCCACTAATAATGCTACTGGAAAACTGGCGTAAACAGCAAAAACCCAAAACGACCTCTGCTGATCAGGAAAGTTTGATTTTAGACATTTTGGGACAAACCATCTTTTGGTGGATTAGAAGCTTTGAAACCCATCTTTACTAGAGCATAGGATGTAATTATTGAAAATCCCCGAATTGTACCCTGCAGACTAAGCAATGCTTGGGTGTTTTTCGATCAAATGTTAATAGTACAGTATATGGTAAAATAAATTATTTTGCCAAATTTTTAAATATATATCTGCTAAATACAATATAGTTTATTTATTCTAAAATTTTATGTTGTGTCAAAATTGGGAAAACCCAATTTTTAAGACATAAGCAAAAATAATCTGATCATGTTGGTTTATGAACTTGTTTAAGAATAAATTTTACAAAAATCGGATCATTTCCCCCCTAGTTATTGTGCTAACGGACACCCACACACACATAAAATATATATGCATTTGGGCGTATGGTGTTATTGACCTCATTATTTTTATAATAATTTTTTCATTTTACCATTTACAAAAATCTTTTTTGTAAATGGTAAAATGGTGTTTGCAATCTGAGTAACGTCGGCATATGACGGGAATAGCACACCTATGTTTTTCCTTCCACCATGAGCTTGTTCATTTTCTGAAAAATTCACTAATATAATTAACAAAATAAGTATTTTAACTTTAATTTTAACTGCAACAAATCAACTAAAATCATAAAAGCTACCTGGTTACGAAATCTGCTCAAAACAAACAAATCAGCTGGCCAAAACAGAGCAAGAAAAAAGTTATTAAGATCGAATCAGCTGTGATTGTGAATGAATATTGTGATATGAAATTGAAACAAAAAAACTAACCTCAAAACAAGAGTCGAACCAAAACTTTCTAATCAGCGTGAAACTGGCAATAGAACAGCAATAACCCATTCCACTTCCCCTACCGCCCCTCCGACGAATATACGTCACAGTAAAACGTCACAACAATGATGGCGTCACAGTAGGATTCGTCACAGAGCAGCTGACATAACCTCCAAAATATCAAGTGGCGGGAATTTTTTTTTTGCGAAACACGGCCAAGATGGCGTTTGGCGGTACACGCACAGCGTTGATTATGAAGGTTAAGTAATATATATATATATAAAACTGTACAATACGTTGAATGTTAAACTACTATTTCATTATTTAGAGAATAAAGAACAATATTAAACACGTTTGAGGTTATTTAAAGTAGTAACCACCTTAAATTTTTTCCAAATGATAAAATTATTAGCTGACTACCATAAAAACCTATTGCTGGCGGTTCCCCTTAAGTTTTTCTCTCGTTTTTCTTTTGATATATGTTAAACACATGGTTATGAACAAAAAATGACGTATTCAAGGTTAGCCCACTCTTTAATAGTGTAGCTATGTATCCTAGAATGCACTTCGTGTGACCTCGGTTGCACGCCGATGCTATTACAAAAATGTATGTTCTAAATGTCTATTTACATTATTTATCTGGTATTGAACAATACTGGGCACTTTTAAGCTTATTAATGTAGAAATCACCTTGATATTAATACAAACTAATAAACTACCTAAAATTACTAACTAATTATCGTAAAAACCTATTGCTGGCATATCCTCTTAAATTTTTTTCTCGTTTTTCTTTTGATATGTGTTAAACACATTGTTATGAACATAAAATGACGTAGTATAGGTTAGCCCACTTTTTAGTAGTGTAG